ATATATCAAAATTTCCTTCTTGGTACTTTGATGATCTCTGGGAACGAACTGGGGAAAATATTAACGCAGTAGCATTGTTGTGTACTACTGAAAACCTTTTATCTGTATAGTTTTAATCTATAAAAGCCGCGCACTTCAGTTTGTCTACAAAATATTTTGCGCAATATGATTTATCACTAACGCGATCTTACTCTGATTTTCATCTATTTTGAATTTTTTTGGCGATTCCTGACTGCCAAACAGCTCTCTGTCCCCTTTTTATCATAATCTCTGCGCATATTTTACTATCTCCAATTTAGCTCTTTTTTCTTTGGCAAAATGGGCCAGCTACGGAAATAAAGATATTAAGCACGCAAACGGCTTTTTTTGGAACACAGAAGCCGTCTTGTGCAAACACAGTTTTGCTCATAAATTACCGCAGTGCAGTAATAGATTAAACATTACCGCAGTGCAGCAGTAGATTCAAAATCTTCATAATCGTGGTTTTGTCGCCCGATAAGCTTCCTTACCACGGATACAGTTTTCTGGGGGCTTAGCTATTTGAAAGCGTTATCCGATGTATAATTTTCCCCATTCTAAGGTTTTACCGAAACTATAAAAATGCTTGTCAAAATTTTGCCTGCTAGCTGTGCTAAACTAATAACAAAAGTGAGCGCGGATTTTCAGGATAAAATAGTCATTCTTTCGTCATAGAGTTTAATTTGCAGTGGAAAGCACGTTTAGCATTGACTAGGTCTCGTAGCAATGAACCACTCGTCAAAGTTGCATAACTGCCTTTTTTGATTGGCGTAGTTTTGTATTTCTTGATTTTGTAGTTGTACGTTTAGAGTAGTGAGATACTTTGAAATGGTCGCAGAACGATCTAACTCGGAGCAGTATGAAAGACAACGAGAAGCAACAGTATATCGAGCCAGAACTGTTCATAAATCGTTAAATGCTGCAAACAGTTTTATGCACCGAATATCGGAAACCAGTAAACGACGAAGACGCGACAGCTTGCTGAATGTGAAGTTCGTTTCA